CCGCTGATTACTGGGCCTTGCAAAGGATGGATCAATGCTTCGAGAAGCAAACAAATTTACTAGGAAAGAAAGTTGCATCAATTTTTATTTTTTCCAATTTCAATTTTTTATTTTTTATAATTTTTTGTATTTCACATGGCACGCTTTGATTTAGAAGAAAAAATTCAGAACAGTTTTTGACACTTTCGATACCAGAAGCAACAACAAAATACACGCAAATGTTGTTTTTGCTCTACTGATACTACCTGTTTAATGTGCCTTGGTTGGCTCCCTACAAGACGCGATTGACAGAAACTCAACACATTCGCAACGAAAACTAACACATATGCAAAATTTTATGTCAGTTTGGCCCTGTAGCGAATGACTGTAATTTGTTTGATCATGTGAGTGGTGGGTTTCACACTGGAACATTTGTGCCACCAGAACAACTCTGTTTGAAGGCAAGAGAGGCAGTGCGGTGAGGTAAAGTTTCTCAAAAAGTTGTTCCAGCTTCTACCCCGCATTAAAGTGGCAGTTCTGCTGCAGCGCTAATACATACGCAACTACGAAAATGCCGCTACGCAACTTTCAAGCGCAGAAGTTGCAAATACATTCAAACGTTCTGTACGTATACTCATTTTATTCTGCTAATTTTCATCCAGTGTGAAACCGTGAGAATAATTGTTCTGTAATTCTAGTGTGAAATAGCCCAGTGACAATGCTGATAGAAGTAACGGTAGTTGGTTGCCATATGGGGTGTTCACAGTTCGTTCCAAATTATGTCTGAAAATGTAGACGTCTACATTTTGAGACATCTTTAGCATCAAACTGTGAGCACCCCTTTCTAGCAGTCGTCGCAAAATCGTCTCAAAACTGTGCTGGTGTTGCCAGACATTTCCTCTTTGCGTGCATTTTTTATATATCGCCTTTCGATTTTGTTTCTGAAAAATTGTAATTATTTAACTTAATTACAAATTCCTAATATTTGTTATTTCTTTTCCTTGATTTGTTTCTTTTCATCAGAAATTGCGCTCAAATTAAATGCAAATACAAAAAAACGTGCCCAATAAATAAAAAAAAATGTGATTAGTATTGCCATAATGCAACCCTGCTGCGAGGTTGCAAAATGTAGACGCGTAAAAAACATACCTTTGAGTGTGACAAAATGTAGACGGCGTCGTTTTCCAATTGTGTATGGGAAACAACAACACCACAGATTTTACGGTTAGAAAACGTCTTAAAATGTAGACGTCAACATTTTCAGACACTATTTGGAACGAACTGTGAACACCCCAATAGTAACCACAAGATTTAACAGGGCTGCATTTTGTGCTAAACAAATGTAGTTGTACCTGCTTGAACTTAATTAATTTAAACTATAATTTTACCATTTATTGCGGTATGATAATTTCAATGTATGCAAACGTAAAAAATAAAACCGGATTATAATGTACTTGGTACTGAAGAAGTTCAAATGTGCACCTCAACGGAGAAAAGAAAGTCGCGAAACGAAAAGCCGCTCGAAATTCAAAGTGCTGTGAAAATTACAGATAAGTTTTATAAAATAATTAATTTAAAATGAAGAAAAGAGCATTTAATAATGCAATGACCAAAGAAAAACGGATTTACGAATCCAATGTAAAAAAATTGCGAGCTCTAAGGCAAATGAAAAGTGCAGAAAATGTGAATGTAGAAAGTAGTGGTGTTGTGCATCCAAATGAACAGCCAGGACCCTCTTTTTTTTAGTACAGAATCTACTGAATAAACGACAAACTCATCTGAACTACAATTCGACGAGAGTATACAAGAAGTACGAAACATTGCTGCAATTCAACTGGGACGGAAGATGGGAGAGAAAACCACTGAACAAACTCATACTGGTTGACACAATCCTACGAGGTAATATGCACACATATCAGGGACACTACTTTACGTTCTGACCATTCATTTAGTTTTTTAATTATTTATATTTATGTACCTATATAAAAACATTTCTAACATACTTTGTAAAAAATTATCAAAAAACAACGCAAGTTCTTAGCCGCTTAAAATTTGCACAATAATATGCTCACATTGAATCCGCTGTAAATCTGAATACCCGATTTTTTTTTCTAGAGAACGTGATTTAAAAGTTTTAAATTTTGATTACCAAATTTTGCGATTTTTAATAAATCTTGTACAAGGTTTGGAACTTTCAGTTCCACGGTTTACGTTTTGGTATAAACTATATCTTTGTAAAAAAAGTTAATTTCAAATAGAGAAAAAAATAAATGGTCAAAACTTATAAAGAAATAATATCCCTAATTATGTGGCTAACATACAAACATATTTTTTAATAAAAATTTTTTTGAAAATCTATTTCATACCATCTATGATGCATTTAAAAAGAAAGGTGCAGTTGAGTTGGAAAAGGATATCAAAAAGGCAGCTGAGCTTAGCCATCACCGCTTACACCAAAAAAAAAAATATTAACAAAAAAATCAAAAAACACATCGGCTGGAAATCCATAATTTTAAGACTATTCAATATTAGATTTAAGTACATATGTACATATGAACGCTAGTGGCAGAAATAATATAAACGCCTTATTTTGATTAATTTTTCGCTAAATTACCTTTATTTTTTAACATTTAGTGCTTATTTAATATTCAATGTTTATTTAATGTTCAATGTTTATTTAATGTTTAATGTGCAAGCAGTACCTTTCTTTCTGAATTTTGGTACCATAATTTTGAACGCAGCTGTATGTATGTTTTTATGGTTTTCTGAATTTTAAGTTCGTGAAACATGAATCAGTTTGCTACTAACTTTTTAATGTTCAGTAATTAGTTTATAAGATTTTGTGAAAAAGTATTTAACAAAAAATCCCACTCTGTTCAATATCTGTTTTATGTATGTACATATGTACGCTGGTAGCAGAACTAATAGAAACGCGTTATTTTGACTAACTTTTGGCTACATTGTGGCGCAATTTTGTATTTCACCCTTATGACGGTTTTGTAATGTTTTTACATAAATTGTTAAAACATATGGAGCAAAGTTGCCAATTACTTGTCGGCGCTTTTCTGTATACTGAGATTAGTCGCTATACATAATACAAAGTAAGATACTGGTAGCCATGGCTACTAGACCACCAACTGGACACCAATCGCCATGTATATTGGGGCCACAAATAAGCAAAAGAAATGCACCGAAATAAATCGTTTCTATTATTTCTGTCGCAAGTGTATGTGTTTTATGAAAAAAATTTGAATTTTTACTTCGTAACACATTAGTTATTTAACTTCTAATATTTTAATGATTAATAGTTAGGTCATAAGATTTTATGAAAATAAAAGAAAAAAAATAATAAGTATTAAATGTGTCATTAATGATGGATTTCTAATCATGCGTGAGAGATCAGACTTGTCGAATTTTTACATCAACTGTGAGTAATCAGCAATGACATGAAAACATGTCAGACTTGATGTGTCATGATTGATCGGGTATTACATCAAATTTGATTGCACATTGTTGACTTATATTTCTATCACGGCTGATCACTCATAATTGTCGAAGATTTACATCACTGATGATTCAAATTTGAATGCCGAACTCAGAGGGAGTAAGCAGTCTAGCAATATGCCAAAACGTATATGTTAGAAGGAGATGAAGCATCACACGTACACAAAAGTTTCCATCAGATTTTTCACACTGTCCTTTAGAATTTGATAGAAACTTGTAGGTAGCCCGTGACAGAAATCTCTATCACTCTTGCCACTCAAATGATCACTGTTCTTGCAGGGGCTCTTTATTTCCGGGCTGGGACGTGTCCCGTCGTGCCGTGCCGGGCCGGGCCGGGCCCCACAAACATTCTTAACGTGCGGGCTCGTGCGTGTTTTTGAAAGTTTATTTTGCACTCGTGCCGGGCCGGGGCTGAAAATTTAGGCCCGTGCCCATCTCTACTTTGAGCGGTGAGTATTGCAGTTCAAGATGAATTTCATATAATTTTTCACTCATCTGAAAAGGATCAAACATGTCCCTAAATCTTCGCCTTTCAACTTTCGCATCAGCAATCTGGGACTCGTTCTGCTCTTCAAGCAATATAATTATGCTTCCACTTAAATTAAGAGCAAACGAAATTTTATTTTTAAATTAAAATGAGATAGATATATTTAGTTATTTTAAAATATTTACAAATTTTAACGTCATAAGCTGCCATAGTTTGGTGGCAATTATTTCTTTTGTCTTGTTTCGATTTCACACATTCCTAGGCAACCAGCTGATTTCGAAGATGTTTTCGCTCTTCCTCTTATTCTTTCGATTCGATCGTAACTCAGAATACCGAATTACGATTGTAGCGGAGCGGAATGCGGGAACGTAATAGAAATGCCGAATATAGCTGATAAGTATGAATGCATATAAGTAACCCAAATTATGGATGGTGAGTGGGATATACTCAGTTTGAACATACCCGTTGCGCTTCTCTGATATCGCACGTTTAATAATATAGAGATGTAACTCAAAATTTTACGTTTTTGGAATTTCATTATGCATATAATAAGCTTGATAAGTAGAATATGCTCAGTTTAACAGATAACCATAGTTCCCAAATATGGCGAAGATATGTGTCCTCCCATCTGTCTTTTTGTATACCAACTGTATGAATTGATAAAACTTTGATTGCGTTTTCCCACAATATTTAAATTTTGAAATACTTCGTCATATTATTAAACGTGCGATATGAACATTTTTTTATTAACAATAAAATGCTTTGTTTAGGGGCTTTTGTGTTTAATTTAATACATAATTATAATACATAGAATATTTTCAACCAAATTAGAATTTGTTAATATTATTTAATAAGTTTAATAGCCCAGTTCTGTACCGGTGACATACTTTTTTTTCTGGTTATACTTTTTCATATATTTTTCCGTAAAAAAAAACTGTGACAAGAATTTGTCACTGATACAGAATAGAGCCTTAAAAATGTATGCTTTTAGCATATTGTTAGTCATTACTATATCATATGTTAGCAGTTCAAATAATTTCATTTAAAATTTATATTTTTGGTGGTTTTATATAACCCTTGGATCGCATGAATCGTACGATAAATGGTGTGGCACCTAATGTTATGCTTATGCGTACTGGCGCGAATACTTTGTGTATGGCATATGCAATAACAAAAGTGCTAGCACCAGTAGTTACTTTAGTCGATAACGTCGACGAAGCTAAACCAAGGCGTTCCAGAATCGGTACAATATCTATTCCTCTGAAAGATGAAAAGAAAAAAATTAATACAAATTTAATGACAAATACATGTGTATATATGTATTATAAGCGTCAAGTGGTCTGATACATAGTACTCCTAAGTAATACAATAGTTAACATACATATCGTCGTTTAAAGTACAAAACCGCGTATCGTCTTTCGGAAAAAACGCGTAACTGACATTTGCTGCCAAAAATTGGATTTGCTCACACAAGCTCTTAGCTCAAAGTGTTAAATGTCACGCAAAGCCACAAAGTTTTATCTGGCATTAGCTTAAGACTCGGAAGAGCTAGTTCATTGAGCTGAACGGACTAGAAGTGAACTAATCTTTAAAGTGAACTAAAAAATCCAACTCTGCTGTCCAATAAGCACAAGTTTTCACATTTTCCCATGTAATTTCAAGAGTTTTATGTGTTCTAATTCTAAACTCAAGAGTAACAATAATTTTTTGATATTTTTGTATTTATTCACGCTTATTAACCGACTTAATAAAAGGAGGAGGCAGGGATGTCAGTGGCAAAAATACTTCGATGTATTTCTTTGATTCGATGCATCGAAAAGTACATCGATGCATCCATTTGCATAGGATTTTTCAGATACTATTTCACATATTTCACAGCAAAATATGTTAAAAGCAAATTGTACAGAATTTCAAATTAATTACCGTAATTGAGCTAATTACACTGGATCACAAATTTTAGTTTTTTTTTTGTTCTCCAGACGCCACTATCCAATTCCTATGTAGAATTGCTCGGTGATTCCGAAAATCCAGTTAATTTCATTTTCAACCGACTTCCAAAAACGGAGGAGGTTGTCAGTTCGTCGGAATATATATATATATTTTTTTTTTATGTATGTTACCGCATAACTTTGCACCACGTCAACCGATTTTCGATAATTCTTTTAATTTGCAACGGAAAGGTAGTGTCTCAGAGGTGGTCCCATACTAATTTGGTTCAGATCCGATCATTGAATCATGAAATATATAGATATATATATATTTTTTTTGCTAAAAATTACTTGTTTTTCTATGGATACGTTTTCGATATATTTGCAATTTAACGGTATTTAGCGTAAAAAAAGAGTGGTTCCACTTAATCACGTATATCTTACGAACCAATTGAACCATTGTAATACGAAATACGGCAATTGGAGCTTAGAAAGGTTCGGCTAGTACTATAAGGCCTGGGGCGGACAATACCGCAAATCCACCACTGGGTGATAATCCCAGAAGGTGGAGACAGACTCCATGAATGTCATTAATGGCTTGTCTGTACGCCGTTGTTGTTGTTGTAACAGCAGTGCTCAACCCACCGGCGTTTCGTCATGAGTGATCTTCATCCTCTGACTCTACAAGCCTGAGGCCGAGAAAGAGGGCTAAGTCGATAGGTGTGGTCCATTGTACTTCTGGTGTCGGGGTCATCAGGTTAGAGGTGCATGCGAAGAGGTGTTGGGTGCTGTATGGTCCCTGTCCGCATGCGGGTCAGATGTCTCAGCCGGGAGAGCTCACAAAGTTACCTTCAGCTGGCGGCGGAGGGAGTTGTTCCATGTATTCCTGTGTTCCTGTTTAGTTCTGCGAGGCTTAGGCTTGGCGTTTCGACCCATGATTGGCGTCCACACAGATAGCTGGTTATCCATCCATGGTTCCATGTATTCCTGTGTTCCTGTTTAGTTCTGCGAGGCTTAGGCTTGGCGTTTCGACCCATGATTGGCGTCCACACAGATAGCTGGTTATCCACCTCTTCATTCGATCCGGATGCGTATTTGGAAAGGCTCGCATAGTTCACTGAGTCGAATGCCTTCGACAGGTCATCCGCGACGTGGATCCGTCATTGTGGTATTTGCAAATGTATGGGCAACGTTTTCCTTACGTTTCGTCGGATAATACAAAAACTTAACGGTCGTCCACAGTTTGATAGTCCCGACGGATAGATTGCAAATCTTAAGGTGTTCATTCCACGTTTTCCGCGTATGCCCGTTGACCAGTTCACTAATGTCCTTGTTCAAATCCATGATGCGGGGATCCTCAGGATTAGACTGACGTTTTCGATCACGCACGTTTTCGAGTCCCCCCGCTTCTACAGGAAAGCCTTGGTGGATTTTAGCGCTCCTGCCGGCTGGAAGTGGGCGGCTGCTGCGTTGATGATCCTGCGGATATTGCGCTCAGCTATGCGCGCATGTTGGCAGTGGAAGAGCGTTGAAATTGCGGTCTGTGTGTTCCGTGAAACTGCCTCAGTTAGCCTTCTTTGTGTTCATATATGCACGGTTTTTGGATGTGACAAAATCTCTTGGGTGGTCAATCGCGACTACTAAGAGCTTTGTTGTGAATTCTATGTTGAGTTGTTCTGACTACATTAATAAAGTTGAAAGTAATGTAAATGCCTTTTTACGTTGTAGATTAAAGATGTTATCTTTGTATACACCTTTAGACACAAGAAGAAAGTAAGGTGTTCAATTAATTTTGCCTCACAAAACGTATTCTGAGCTTGTTTATAGCAAACTTGTTTCTGTTTCGTCACAAAATTGATGTTGCGTTCAACAATCTCACTCGTTATGTTAATGCCCTTAAAAGATATGACCAAATCTCTTTGTGGAAAACTAAAGTTGTATGATGCATATGCATAATCATTGATTATCTTGCGGAAAGAAGTTTTATGTTCATATAAAACTCCGAAACATCTTTCTGAGATATTAAAACTAACAAGGTCTAGAAGGCATTAAAGTCTGATTGTTCCAAATATTTCTACTTGTCCTCATCAAGGTTGTTCTTCATTGATGCTGCGAGGCTCTGGAACTCCATTCCAAAATCTGTCAAGGCTGCTATGAATAGAGGTAACTACAAAAAGGTAATCCACCATTATTTTCAATCTACAAAATGTGGTTGCGACTAAACTGTCTTATTTTCCCGATCTGATTAAACTTAAGGTCCTTATTTATTTTTTTGTTAGTTTTAGTTAGTTTAGATTACATTCCATTGCACTAGAATTACATTTTTTTAATTTTGTAACTTCCATCCTGTAGATGTATGATCACACTAAAAGTCTTACATAATATGTATATTATAGACCCGCATAACTTAAATAAATAATACTTGGTCTGACGCGAGCGTAAGCACTGGTTTTCACCCAATGTCATTTGCAATTTATCAGATCCCCTCTAGCTATAGTGATGTCTGGCGAGCTGTAGCGGTCACCCGCGATTCCGGTGGGAGCATAGTCTTTTACTGTGCAGAACGATGAGCCATCAATTTGTTCAGCGAGCTGGTCACTTCCCAGGTTGGAGTGCCAGAGTTCGTGGCAAGCTGCAGTAAAAGCAGTACTCCGCTCACGATGGTGCCTGCGGCCGAAGCAGAGCTTCCGGCGGCACCAGTTGTGGCACGCGTTGCACCTTACTGATGTGGTCCCAGTGGAAAAGTAGTAATGCATTACATGCGTGATAAATAATGTAATGTATTTCTTATGAGTTCTAGATTCTATAACTATTTAATATGTAATCAGCATTCGAATGTTTCCAAAAAATCGCAAAAATTTCGTGTTTTCAGGTGACACAAGTTATTGCAGTTGTTGCAACGGACTGAGGTAAACGAATGGTGAATGTTTCGGTCGCAGACAATACATGTCCCAGGTCCGGGATTTTGCTCTATGCCGGCACGGACCAGTAGTGTGCGGAGCAGACTTGCCGGTGGGTCATGCTCCCAAGGCGAAACAATGGGGGCTTGCTGCTGGAGTTCATGGTCGAAGTAACTGCTTCGAGTCAACCCGTAACGTAGGATCGACCATTTGGGGATTATCCGTGTGTAACTGCGCTTTAACGAGTGGCACATGAAACGTGCTGTTGCGACGGGGTTTTCCCAGAGGGATAGAGGTGTTAGCTGAGGGCTTGAATGGAGATGTGAAGAGGTGGTTAATGTCGTAGAGGGGATCTTCACATGCGGGACACTCATTAGGTATATCGGGGTCGAGACTGGACAGATATGCAAATAACGCGGGTCTCGCGAGTGCCTGTTATAATATGGGAACGATTTATTCTAACGGAGTTGGCGATAAACTGATTATCTTCTTTAGCATCAGATCAAAGCAGTCGCCCAGTCTGAAAACTCATTTGGTATCGAACAGCTCAATATGGTCTTTCCCAATGCTGGAAAAGCTTGAGATAGTGTTCATTATCAATTCGAACATCTGTTTTAGTTTGGCTAGAATACCAAATGCAAAGATCGCGGCAATAGACAACTCCTTTTACTGTTTTCACATCAACAAATAGATGGAAGTGTGTCGAGATACCAGTTCTAGAGCTATGCTGGTAGGGCTCAATCGCTTCGATGACGTTGGCAGGCATGCGTTCATTTGACCATATTCTGCACAAGAGTTGGTGCATGTATCTTATCAACTCTTCACCGCCTTACATACATATGTAGGTAGCAGGCCGTTAGCCTCAAAAGTTTTATTGTTTTTCAGCCGGGAAGCTGCTATTCGTACCTCGTCATAGACGAGCGGTAGGGCATCGATTCCGTGATTCCTACATAATCTAGGTATGTTCTGGATATTGGTCACTGCGACGACGTGCTTGTTATTATAGGAATATTCCCTAGCCTTGAAATCCTCTTACGTCTACTTAGATACTTTGTGATATAATTTCCGTCCAAGCTCTTTGCAATCTCGTATTTCAACATGCCTGTTAGGCAGTGGCACTTTCCCCACTTCTGTCATTCATACCCTCTATTCATGAATTCTCCCAAATGACGGGGTTCATCCGAGAATTTTTTACTTTTCCATTGGAATTCGCTTTTACGGGCCGTCGTTACGTAAAAAGGTTTCTTGAATTAAAATATGCAAATATCGTCATTATCCTTGTTTATTCGACCGTTAGTGGCGTTTCACATGTGCCGGCAATCGGATTGCCGGGCTAAGGTGTATTTGTAGCTATTAGGGCTTTCAAACAAGCGATTTCTTGGTTTCATACATTTTGTGTCGACAAACCAGGGACCGGAATGTGTGAAATGGAACTTAAAAGCTCCAAGTTTTTGTAACCAACAATATTTTCGGAGCATCTTTTTTGTGTTCTGGAACACTCCGTAAAATTTGTAGTTTTTTATCCAAATTCATTAAAAAAAACAAAAATTAGTGCAGTAAATCTGATATTTGAGGCCACAAAATAGTCTTCGCAGAATGAAACACCCGATTTACATGATTCAAGTACTTGAAAGCAATTCTTGCTCATTCTCTTTTGTGTTTTCTATTTGCTTTTACACGTTTCAATTCTGTAGAATTCAAGTTTTTTGTTCTTTAAATGGGACGCAAAGAAAATGCCAAAAGCAAAGCAGGAAAGTTGAAACGACTTGACGGTACAGACGCATGTGTACTCGTCCCTGTTCTTCTCACCCCCTCTCTTCCACATACGAGCAGAATTGAATTCAATACTTGAATTGTGTATAAGCAGTCAAACTTATCCAAAATGCTAAAAAAAAACCCTAAACAACATATCAAAAATGAGTTAAGGTGTTTCGGTACTAGTAGTTGCGATCCCCTACGACTCCGGACTAGTCAGAAATAGTCAGAATCAGTCAAATTTTACTGGAAATCGATCCCGTACTCGGTTCTCTGACTATTGAGAGGACAAAAAAGAGAAAAAGAGAGTAAATAAGGTCCTCTCTCTGTCAGAAGTTACCAGTTCTAGTCCGAAGATTTTTTGCTGGCAAGTTCAGGTAAATGTGTCAAACCATCAGCTGTAGTGTGTTTGGCAACCAAATTGTAAACAAAAGAAAAGTGCACTCTGCTAATGCATGCTGAAAAGTATCTAATTACTTGTTTAAGTGGATTCTAATGAATTTTTGGTTATTTATATGTGTGAGTTGAGTGTGTTTACGAATAAAATAAGCGAAAATTTACAACCAAAATTTGGAGGTTATGTTGAAGTTGATAGAAGTTACCATTTTTTACTAGAAAGCGATCCCGTACTTTCCAATGTTACTCTCTCGCTCTGAGCGAATTTTTATTTTTTGACAGTTTTACTAGTTTTAGTCCGAGGAATACGGGATTGCACCTAGTGTTAATTAATTTAAAAAGTCGTGAAGTTTCCTAGGTTAACGCTAAAAAACGCTCAGAACTTGTGATACATGGATCATGTCAATAAAATAAAAATGTCAGAATAAAGAGCAGAAAATTCTTTATTATCACTGATAACTGCCTTTTTAACCGACTACAAAAAAAAGGAGGAGGTTATAAATTTTTTTATGTACTTATGTTACCGCATAACTTTGGACTACGTAAACCGATTTCCATAATTCTTTTTTATCTAAAAGTTGGTACCTCAGGGGTGGTCCCATACTAAATTGGTTTAGTTCCAATCATTGGATCATGAAGAAACAACGGCAATCCTAAATTTTTATATGAGAATTGAAGTCGGTTGTGTTTTTTGCTTAAAAATTACTTGTTGTTGCCTGAAATTGAAGCAAGTGATGCCGGCAACATTTGGTTTCAACAAGTTATCGTGTGATATCACGCTTCTAGATTTTTTCTTTGGGCTTATGTATGTGTTGTCAGAAGTCTTCGTCGATAAGCAAGTTATGATTAAAAACTTGCATTGAAAACTGGAACTTCCGAATGGCCAACCAACAGCGTAGTCGCGGCCAACATTTAAATGAAATTATTTTTAAAAAGTAAATAGGAGTGTACTCGTACCCAAAACCATGATAAAAATATAGTAAGGTAGAACCGCTGAGAGTTACTTTTAAAATTCTTGACGTTTCCAAACATTTTAATTTTTAAATTTACTCACAAACTCACACACAAATTTTCATTTTCAATCTCAAGCAACAACAATTTCGAACAATTTCAATTTTTTATTTTCAATTTTATATGATTTTAAAATGGTGGCAAGAACGGTTCTACCTTGCTATGTTTTTATCATGCCCCTAAACTATCAAAAGTTCTAGAAAACTTTTACTGGTTTTGCGTTCTCGTACCCCAAAAACTTGCAAAGTAGGGGAAATTGAGAGAGCAAAATGTGATAGTGCTGCAAATTTCTGCTGAAAAAATTTTTACCAGCGAAAACTTGCAAGTAAGAAAATCAGCTAATCACAAACACATGCTTGTAAATAAACAAAAGAAAATATGACCTTTTTGAGTTATTTATTGCAAATTTCGATATTAATGCTAGTATACAACGAAGAAGTGAGTAAATTTATTAAGCACAACGTTTTTTGAGTTTATTTTTCGTTAATTTACTATTAATCTGCAGTTTGTTTACTTTAGTGTGTGCTGACAATGGTTGCCATATGACATTTTTCGTTTGTACCATAATTTTCCTTTAAATATACCAAAGTAGATTGAAATGCAGCATGCTGAAATATTTTTTGCTGAAGTTGTCGGTTTTGGCAGATTGATTGTTGAAATGAAAACTTTATAAATTTAAAGCTACATTTGTAGCTACATATATCTATTAAATTTTTCTGGATCAATGTTGGGTGTTTGGAGGAGATTCTCACATCACAAATTATGAGAAAAATAACTTATTCATTCCGATATAATTAATTGGTATTTTAAAAAGGTGTTTCTTATACAAAGCTATTCAATTGTATAAAATGCCGAATCGGGGGAGAATGTACCAAGCCAAATTGCCAAATGAACCACCAGTGGCAACTGTGGAAGTGATCAGCTGTTTCGAAGATTGCAAGTTTTTGCAAATTTTGCGTTCTCGCACTTCTGGGGATATTTTGTCTCTTTGAATGCTGCTAAATTCTGAGAATTTTTGCTGCTGGATAATTTTGTCCGCTCAATACGAGTACACACCTAACGTCAGAGGTTCTTCTTTCGGGTGATAATACAGATTCCGACATCCAGTTCTGTTTTAAGTTTTTTATTTAAAATTAAAAAGCCAAGGTCCAGAAGGATCACCCTATACATACAGTGGAAAGCAATGATGATTTTTTTTTAATTTGCAAGGTTTTTAAAGTTAACATTGTTTTGTTATTTTTCCATAAAAATATGGTTCGTGCTTTAACCAAAACCATATAAATCAAACTTTCAAGCTTTATACAGAGATATAACAAATTTTCATTAAAATTTTGAGCTTTTTAATCTGATTGGTTTGAATTTGATGATTGACTTGAATTTTTTTGAGTATGCAGTTTTGTAGCTAACTAAATTTTAGCCGTCAGCAAAAATAAAAATTATAAAAATCAACGCGATTTGCAGATGCTTAAAACTTGCAGTTTATTATACTAAAATTAAATTTGCTATAAAACTATATTTTTATGAAAAAAAAAAACAAAAGAAAAAATTAACTTAAAAAACCTTGCACATATTTAAAAAAAAACCACCATGCACTCATCACTGCTCCCCACTATACATATGTATATTAGGCCATTTGGCCGAAGATTTTCCATAATTAACTTTTTTAGGTTCAATGAACTTCAATATAGTTAACGGCTTAATGAGGCCTTGGACGTAGTGTGGTTGACTCTGAACTGCTCATAAAGATAATGAAATTACGTGCATGCAAACCTTAAGGCTTAAGCGATACTAATTTTAGCGCAAAATCAGAAAGAAACAATAAATGATTGCAAGATAAAGATGTGTGTGTGTGTGATATTAAAAGCCTTTCATCGACGATATTGCTTACCCTGAAACTAGCAAATAGCATGCTCCAAGCGATGCCAACGAGATAGCCACATGAAATACTATTACCGTAGATCCATAATCTTTAAATGCTTTTTTCAGCTGCTCCTTTTTGCTCAGCGCCGTTGGTTGTTTGTCGCCTTCCACTTTTGTACAGTAATGACGTTTTTCCAGACTATCCGCTGTTGTTAGATTATGCTTTAAAAGCGACACGCTTGTAGTTGCTGTAGTTGCGTACTCTAATATGGAATTAACGTGCAATGACGCATTTGCTTTAGACTATATGTAGTAATATTAAGTATAGTTAGAGTGAGTTCAGCGCCAACCATGCCCAAAATTATTACAAATACAGAACTACTAAGTGCAAACACGAGTATATTAATGTAAATCATGGTACTGCAATTTCATACCTTTTTTATTAATATTATAATCCTGGTCATACTTCACCCAGCTTGAACGAACGTCTTCACGTAAATTAGTGTAGTGAGAACTATGTAAGTTGCTGGACATGAATTTTCCCTCCTGTGACCACTGCCCACCAGGCATATTCAAATGCGTAAACTTGTGCATTCCACCATATGGATTGGGTACATTGCTTTGCATAACTGCATTGAGACTTGCGGCATTAAAGCAATCATACGATTGTAAATGAGGATCATTCGTTGTAGGCATCGAGTTGTCTGTGGTTATCTTGGATAAAACTGATTGCGATCGTTGAGATAAAATCACGGGACCAGAGATGTCCCGTGTACGATTTGGTGAAAAGCGTGTTGTTTCGGCTGGATCGATGTTTTTAGGTAGCGGTAATATAGCAATGCGTGCACTATACGAACGCGCATTAGTTATATGCAGTTTGTTCAAAACTGAAAGATCTTAAAAAATAAGAGTTCATACTTTTACTATTAATGTAATAATAAGTACATGTATATCTTATAATGATATTGAACAAACTATGTAGGTAAATACCGATAATTTACTAAAAGAAACACAGAACTCCAATAACGATATTATTGAGGTTGGGACAAAAGGCCCGTTGTAACAGCATAGGGAGTAACATCGAAATCCCTTTGGACTTAAAAATAGGTTTGTTCGTCGAAAATCCAGCAAGAATTATCCAACACTCAAAATATCAGAGAGTAAGAAAAAATTCTCTCAAATTCTCTCTCATGTTGAGAAACTTGCAAATTTCTGCACGAACGCAAATTTGCAGGAATTTGCAAGTTTCCCTGCCAGCTGGCGTCGACGGTTGCATTTCAAACATAAAAAATTTTTATAGAATTTTTAAAATTCTTTCGGATGGCCAAAAACAGGATATACATGTATATTTCTAGTTGTTCTGACTTTCTTTAACATACATTTCAATTTCTTCATCGTACTAGCTGTCGGGTTTCTTAAATCGACTCTGGTTGCAATTGCATTCCGATTGCGAATACCATTTTTTTCAGCCGAATTAAGTTCAAATCATTGGAATTAACTAAATTAATTATATCAACAATTATTTACTTCCTTTTTTCATAGAAAAATCGCTCGTGTTTATAAATTATTAAATTTAACGAACTAATTTATTCAAATTATTGTAGACAAAAATGCAACCATGCGCCACAACCACATGTTTTTCGTGTTTGCCAATTCTTGCTGGCAAAATTTTTTCCAGCAAGAATTTGCAACTTCTCTTCAAGAGAACTGTCACTTTGCTCTCACAATTTTTGAGTGTTGGATAATTTTTTGGCCTGCACGAACGCGATTTGGGCAAAAATCGTGATAATTCGTACAAATTCGTACAAATTTTTTGCTCGACGAACAAACCTAATGTTGCATAAGAAATGCAACTGTAACTAAAAGTACTGATTATGCAAACCCTGCAAATTATGCAAATTACTGTTGATTTTTTTACAGTTTTGCTTTCATATAACGAATAAACAATTTATTTTTATATGGAACAGAAACGCAACACCTTCGGTAAAAAAAATCTAAAACGAAAATTTTTAGCCACTTGAACTCGCCTTTTATTACACTAGAATTGAGTGGGCTACAACACTTTAAAACATCGTTCTAGAAAATCTAATTAAGAAGCTCCTAATTTTCACGAAAGCTTGTTGCATTTTTTTTTTTAAATATTGCACAAAGTTTGATACATGGATTTATATGGGTTTTGTTAAAAAATGAACCGTATTAAAAAAAATACTCAAGTTACATAAATAACAAACAAAATTTAATTGTGAAAACTGGTACAAAATTTGGGTCATTTTATTGTATGTGACGAAAAATTTCACATACGACAAAATTTTCATACAGTTTGTTAAAATATTTATTTTTTTATTTTATTTTATTTATTTATTTCTTACAGTCTGTTAGACTTATATTGCAACAAAGATTTAACATTCTTATTGTCTTATTCTTATATTGTCTTATGTGACAAATTGTATGGTACGTACGACAAAACCACACCAATCCTATACATATGACTGTGCTACGGCAATTCTTATTGACAAATTGTTTAATGTTTTCTTGATTTTTATTCAAAAATTTATATCTGAGGTGTATTAGAATCCATTTTTTGCGTACGAGCAAAAAAAAACTTAAACAATTTCAGCCTTTTGCTTACTTGCTGTGTGTGTGGTTTGTAGTATGTCATACAGCTGGCCAGCATTTAACGTGAAAATGTAACATACGACAAAATAATTTTATAACAAAGTGGTTGTAAAAGCTATGTATATGAGTTACTGAAAATTTAAGAAAATGTGGTTTTATACTTAAATAGTATTTATGTAGAATCAAGCATTAAATTTCGGTAAAAAAAACTATTGTACAGCTTTTGAGAAATTGAGACTGAATCTTTAATATCGATTTCCCAAAACCTGCCGAAAGTAACATACGACAATCTTTTACCCAGGCGACGATATGTAGATGAATTACATTTAAAAATAAAATAAACTGAAAGACCAGCAATATATCAAAACACATACAATTTTTTTGTAAATAAGGAAATATCGGTGGGAGCGGAATTTGCCGAAATTTCGCACAAAATCGGGGAATTTCATTATCGAAATCGGGTAATTATCAAAAATGAGTTGGCTACCCTGGGTGTGAACACGATTCGGTTCGTGGCGTCAGCAACATAAACGATTTGTTTAAATGCGATTAACACTCGACTGCCTGTATACGGACTTACATTACGCCCAACCGCCGTTTTCTAAAATTAAGGTTCAAAAGCAATGGACTAAGTCACCTTTGCTTAAACATGAATAAAGGATTTCTTTATTCGGTCGTTCTAAATTACATATACATCATGAGTAGAGAGCTTTATTTTTTAATTAAATATGTTTTACATATGTACATACATATGTGCATATAGCAAATGCATTCAATAGTTTTGATTGTAATAAATAACAAAAATTGCCGCACTTCCTTACGACGACTTTTTTACCGTGCTAAAAATATCATATTTTCGCCGCACGAATTACACACGCCAATAAAAATGGGGAAAAATTTTGTAACCTAAAATGTTTAAGCTGTTTTCGATAGACATTTTCATGCTGATTACGAATACGTAAGTAAAAAGTTTCCACCACGTCCAAGATTTTGAGAAAAACGTGGTCAAAGTATCAAAAAATCGCGTTTTTTGCAATATTTGAGATGCTCTAGCAAAAAAACAAAAGGGTATAGACCTTACACTTCGGCTTAAATTAAAGCTAGAACTCTCGACTACTATCCCTGAAAATACCATTCGTAAGGTCCTATCACCTTTTGTTTTTTTTTTTTTGCTAGAGCTTCTCAAATATTGCAAAAAACGCGATTTTTTGATACTTTGATGGAAACTTTCTACTTACGGCTTCATAATCAGCATGAAAAAGTCTATCAAAAACAGCTTTAACATTTTAGGTTACAAAATTGTTACCCATTTTTGTTGGCCTGTGTTATTGAAAGTGCACGAGAAGTGAATTTTTTTGACTTATAATTTGAATGCATATATGTACGTACGTATGTATGTACATACATACCCAACAAGCATTTCAGTAAACTTAAAAATTAAATTCAAATGCCAACGATATGAAGTTGTAAATATAAAATTTTTTTATTGTAAGTGACGTGTTTACGTTTTTTTTTAAATATATATTAACCATAATTATTAAAACAAAAGATAAAATAAAATCATTGCGGTTAAAATGTATGTACAGAAATTTCGCATTTAAAAAGTGAAAAAGACAGTGTAAGGAAATTATAAATTTGCTTATGGATAGTGAAGTCCGCGGAGAACAAATTGAACATAACGTTACTTCCAATCAAGGACCCGCTGCGCTAATCGGTGAAAACATTCGAGCCTTCAAATGATGAGTTCTCCTTATCCTTGCTTACATTTACATTCAATTAAAAATTTATAAAATTTTTTTCAGAAACCTTCATTCATCAGAATGGCGGCGAAAAAGCGGAATACATATCTGCATCGAAGTCGTTTTTCCAATTTGCCAATAACCGCATGTAATTGAAAGCTGCGGCATAAAACAAGATATAATTAGCTTTTTATGCTTAATGTTTGTGTGTTATCATGAAATTATATGTTTACATTTATAATTTTTTTTTTTTAAGTACACAAAGAATGCTAATATGTCTCTTCTCTATTTATATTTTTATTTATATTTTCGCCACCGTAGATGAGTCCGCAGAAAATTCTCATTTCATTTAAATTAGAATATTTGGATGGTACTACATATGTTATATAAAATGTTCTACAATAAGGGCGGGTAGATGTTAAACATTCTATATATGAGTTATTAATGAAATATCGTTCAAACAAATGGTTAAAAGTTAAAAACGTTAAAAAGCTTATTTTTTTTGTAAATTTTTAGTAAGTTTATATTCATACGCTTCAACTTTTTTATCCTTATTATAAGTTTATATTTATAAGCTTATAACCAAGGTTCCATTTCGATTATATTACGCTTACTTTCAAGCGTTGTATAAAAAAAAAAACAATGCTTTGTAAGCTTACAGCCGCATTCAGAAACGTTCCTTAAATTAGCTCTAACGGGCGCGCACTGGCTCAACAGACGCAAGGGCTGAGTGTGCAGAGCACTGGCGTGCCATTCGAGAGATCCTAGTCCAAATCCTGGGGCAGGGGTATTTTCTTTTTCCTTTATTTATTTATTTTTTCTCTCTCAATTTTTATAACCCATCTTTATCGAATTTTTTTGCTTTTTTGATCTAATTTTCTTTTGATTTATAGGTTTTATTGCTTTAAAAAGGAACCAATTTCTTTTTTTAATTTGATTAATTTTTTGAAACTGCTAAAAGACAAACAAGACCAATAACAGGCCAATTCTGGCATCTGTCTTTCAACTTACCTCAGTCTTTCGAGAGACAAAAGTCTTTATATTACGGCAACTATCTTGAAAGCTCTTTTCTGTATTTCGAATGAGTAATTGAAAGATGTGCTAACTTTTCTTAAAACTAAACGAAATAAAAAAAAATTGTTTTAAACAGGAAAAACTAAAAATTTGGGAAACTGAAAGTAAAAGAAAAAAGATGAATCAAAAAAGTTTCAAAACGTTAAGTAAAATAAAAAATATGAATTTTTTAAACAATGCAACTTAAAAAAGATTGTATTAAAAAAATTCGTTGCCGAGGATTGAACTCGATCTCTTGAATGGCGCGAACGTGCTCTGCTCACTGGGCCATTGCCACTGTTACAGCAACGTTATCGAAATTGAAATTTATTGAAAAAACAAACAATTTCAAAATCATTCGTTAAAAAGTTAAGTAACGGTATTTGTTTACTTAACTTTAAAGTTCATTAAATGCCCTTAACGAATCATTAACCGACGATTTTTTCAAATCGTTGCTGAGGGACACCTTAAGTAACCATCAAACGACCCTGAGTGAGGCTGTTAATGTTTATAATTGTAAACTTAAAAAAGCTTTATTTCAGTTTATTTTGCTTGTTGGGTACATACATATGTACATACATATCATAACAAGTGAATAAATTAAATTTTTTGTTCTGTTAACGAAAGCTGTTTTCTATGTTTAGCACTTAGAGAATGCGCAATAATGCAACATGATTCCATTCATGTTGGAACATATGTATATACAGGCCCGTCGTGAGGGAGGGGGAAAGGGGTGAATCCCCCGGGCCTGGGGTTCTTAAGGGGCCCGAAATATCAGAACCATAACTTATTATTATTTTTATAATGTAATTGCTCCTTCGTTGTAGACTTTTATTATAAATAAATTCCGATTCGTGCTGATTGCTTTCGACTCTATAAATTAATGAAAATGGCCCGAAACGCGTACTATTACAATACATTTTGGCTCACAGTGCTTTTCAAATACCGCTGAAACTTGCTAGAATAAAACTTTCGGATAGTTTTTCTTCTTGCATCTGAAAGCATAAGTATGTGGCAATGTATACCTAAAACATATTGTACCTCCTGGTGCGATATATGTACATACGTGTAGATTATTTTTCGATGGCTTGTAGTCTGTTTTATGCACTAAGTAGCATGAATTCAGTAGACATGCGATTTGACATGTAATCCAAAGAAATTAAGAACATGATAATCATGGATACAGGTTTGAAAGTTTATGTTGCTGTGCAGCTGTAGGTCGTTTCAGAAGTAATTTTCTGCTTAGAACTCGAGCTCGAGCTTACAAGCGCTCCAAGATATTGAGGTTTTTCGCGGTTAAGTACACGAAAAACGGCTTTAATCGCCACTTTTGCTTGCTCTATGCCATTCGCCTTCGAGTGGTGCTTTACGATTTTTCCTTCAGAAATTATGGCCATTGGAAGATGACGTAATGAGTTAGAAAGCATATGCTTGGCTTGGCGATGTTAGATTCGAGGACACGGCGGTTTAAGTGGCCGTAACTCTTGAGGGAAAAATCGTATAGCACCATTCGAGAGTGCATTTTTAAGGCTAATAATAGTACTAGAAAAATACTTCAAATAATTCTAATAGATTTTTTACAATTTATTGTTTTTGAGTTAGAAAGAATATAAATTTTAACTATGGGTCAATAGCACGTTGAATAGCTTACAATGTTGCTTTCAAATGACCCCTATCTCTAACTAAATAAAAAATAATTTTACCTGAAAATTCAATTAGTAAAAAGACTTACGTCACAAATAGTTTTGCACCGAAAACATATTAATAATGAAGAGTATAGGATACTGCTTTATTGTGAAGGCCGATTCTCATTAAGAAAGTTAATTACAGATTATTTTGTCTAATACTTTTCATATACTTCAAAGTAATACAAGGCAATCGAATAGAAGCCAGTATAATGCAAAAAATTGTGACCCTTAAATATATAAACAACCCTTAATTTCATGTTGTGCTTTTTTAATTGTCATTAATTTAAAGGTGTCTCAAGATTAAGTGAATTTTCATTTTTAAGAGTAGGAGATTCGTGTTAATATTTACATTGTCTGATACCTCGGCCGCTGTGGTGTAGTGGTAAGCAGTGCGCGCTTTTATTATTATTATTATACCTCAGAATAAGTATGACTCAGATAAAATCAAAAATCTGCGAAACCCGAGAAAAAAAATTTCCGCTTGACTTTAATTTTATGCACTTTATATATATGGGCCCGTGATTTTTTTGTCCTGGGCCCCGAGTTTTCTCTCGACTATGCACTATAAAGGATGTGTACGCCATAATTCATTGAAGGAACAATATTAATTAATATGCTTTTCATTTGCTCATGTACCCACTTCTTATCTGGATTTTACGGCATTCTGGAAATAGGGAGAATGAAATAAACGAACGTACTGACCTCAATAGGTAAACTTGACTTATTTATAAAGAGCTCATGGGCGTTTGTTAACATTAGCCAGCATATAAGCAAAAGAACGTATAGACTTTGATCATGTCAAAGTGCAATTCCATAACATGGATGCATGTGTGATATTACTTAGTTAAATTCTCAGTATTCTTTATAAGAAATAAACCAAATTCTAATGGATTGGCTAATAAAAGATAAGATTGTTGAATTATTATTAAAATGTGTTTAATTAAAGTGCCCTTCAAAATAAAGAAAGCGAGCGGGCCACCCACCGGAACAAAATCGCGTCAAAATAATAGGTACTCACTATAATTATCATTTAACTCCTTTCGATAGCACAATGGGTTTTTTGCACCCAGTCGATTTACTGTAACAATAAGTCTTTTTGTATTAGCAAACATCATTTATTCCTTCCAATTAAGCACGTACTCACTAAATACGCAAAATTAACACAAAAAGAATAAAAGGTAAATAAAAAAAATTGACAATTGATCATATTGGCAGCTTGGTATTGCCATATCGAATGCAATTCTTGTCGTAAAAAATCACCCAACCGACGTTAGCAGTTCATTAGTATAAATATTAAGATTTTTGTATTGCAAGGAACACATCAAGATAACCAACCGTTCAGCAATGGGAAAACTAAAAATTCAGACCGATAGTACTTTTTACGCTGATATTAACTATATAAATATTATTTGCCGCAATCAAAAAGTAAAGAAGATATAAAAGGTTAAAGAAAATTTTTGTGATATTTTAAAATATTAATATTTTCTAAACTACGTAACCGATTAAAAAAGCAATAATACCAAAATAAAGACAATTAATCTATCTTTAAGTTAATATATAAAATGTGTTTGCTTGCTTATCTATTTAAGCCAAAAATATTAAAAAACAAATAAAATGTTATAAGTTTTTCATAAAATAACCATTTCTAGAAAAAAGTGCATAATCAATGCTAAAGACATATATATTATTTAGAAAGTGCAAGTTCTTACCTTTAATTCGATGTACATATTTTATTATGATCTACTTCGGAGGTTTAAGAATTCAGTGATAAAAAAAAATTAAAAGCATTTACAAGCAAGTTACAAGTGTGGGTGATATAGTTTCTTTTGCCCAGAACTTCTTTCTGCGTAGGCGGCCTTCGGCCGCGCTTAGGGATCATAACCCTTACAAAGTAGAATTCTCCTTTCTGTATTGCCGAAGAAGCGGAGCTGAACACCTTTCTGTGTAGGCGGCCTTCGGCCGCACTTAGGGATTATAACCCTTACCAAATAGAATTCTCCTTTTGGTGTGCACCAACTGTGTAGCCTTGGGAAAGGATGAGGTAACTAGAATTCCCTTTCGGTGTGGTAAACCGTGATGTCCAGTCCCAGTGATGTCTATTATGGTTACTAGGTGTTTTATATAAATATCTTGTATATAAAAATGTCTTGTGCAAATGAATATTTAACATTTTTCAAGCGAAAAAACGCAAATGAGAATTGTGAATTTTGGCCATTTTCCTAGGAAACCATTGGGGACCTAGGTTGTCGGGGGTTGCATTTTTGTCAATGGCGGTTCATTCCCTCTCCAAAAAGGTGGGTTAGAGGTGCCACGTCCACTTACCTTTCGCCCACCGCCCCTTTAACGAACGGCCGTAACCGAAAGCCAACCCGTTGAATTAACTACAATATGCATTTGCACATACATGCATTTATATTTTTTATTATCACTGAATTCGGAAAACTCAAAAGCAAATCATGATATAATATGTATATCAAATTAAAGGTAAAAACTTGCACTTTCTAAATAATATAAATTTTTTTAGTATTGATTATCGACTTTTCCTAAAAAGAGGTTATTTTATGAAAAAATTATGACATTTTTTTGTTTTATAATATTTTTGGCTGAAATATATAAAAAAGCATAGATATTTTATATTTCAGCTTGAAGATAAATTAATTGTCTTTATTTTGATATAACTACCTTTCGAATCGGTTACGCAGTTTAGAAAATATTAATATTTTAAAATATCAAAATATTTTTGTTTTACCTTTTATATCTACTTTACTTTTTAATTGCGGCAAATAATATTTATATAGTTAAAATCAGCGTAAAAAGTACTAGCAATGTGCATTTTTAGTATTTCTATAGCTGAAGGGTTGGTTATCTTGGGTTGGTTGGTTAACTTTACCTCACCGCACTGCCTCTCTTGCCTTCAAACAGAGTTGTTCTGGTGGCGCAAATGTTCCAGTGTGAAACTCACCACTCACATGATCAAACAAATGACAGTCATTCGCTACAGGGCCAAACTGACATAAAATTTTGCATATACCCTGCAAAAATCGCGACTACTCCATGCATGCGTGTAAAGAGTACTCTCTAAGGACCAAAGAGTACTCCAAAATTAACCACAATTCATATAAAAAATATGGTCCAATTAACATTGCGATGTCCTAGGGCAGGACCACATACTCCATCCCTGCATTACATCAGAGTAGCACAAAACTACTCCAACATATTAACAATGGCATTGTTGTTATATTTTTTCGTTTGTACACGCTTTTCTTCTTCACTTCTCAAATGCTTTTTCGAAATTAATAAAAACCAAGACAAAAATTAAAAATTACATGTTGCCTCTGACGGTATTCGAACCCGAACATGCAGGGAGCTAAGAACTAACAGCGAGCATCTCTACACGTTCAGCTACAGCCAGACATGCAAATGTGCTTTCAAATGCTCAACTCCAATCACGTTTCGTTAAAACACGAGCAGTGATCGGATAACAAACAATAAGCTGGCGCAGAGACACGAGTTGGTCCGCTACAGCATGACAGAGGAACACTTTTGTAAGTACTCCAATTTACCATAAATAGACTACATGGTCCAACGATTTTTGCAGGGACATAGTCCGCAAATATACTTCGGAAATGTATACTTAATTTTCTTTTATTTTATGTATCATATACCACGTTTATACGTAAGCTATTTGCAAATAAAAATAATTAGCAAATACCTCATACGGTAGACAAACGGGCTCGATTATTTACATAACCAGCCTTAATTTGCTTTAACTCATGCATTTTCCTCTTCAAAATGAGCATAAGCAGCCGAACAAATGCACGAAATTTTTGGGAATTAACTCGTGTCCGGGAAATTTTCGATGACCACACTGGTAAAAACGGCCAGTTGTTGTCTTTTGTACAAGTACGCAAACAAAGCGCGCGAGTTCCGCGTCCGCGGTAGCCGAGTGGTAAGACTTACGGGCTACAAGCCTGTAGATGCCAGGTTCGATCCTCGGTTAGAGCGATTGCGAAATTTTTTTTTGTTTTTATTATTTATTTTATATATTTTTTATTTTACTTGATCTATATATTTAATTTTACTTTATTTTGTTTTCATTTGCTTTATTTTTTATCACATTTCTTATTTTACTATTAGTTAATTTTTATTTTTAAGGTTCAACTTTATTAAAAAGTCAACAACAATTAACTGAAAGCAACGTAAAAAAATATATAACTTATAAAAAGAAAGAATGAAAAGGAAATAAAAAAAAGTCTACTGGCCGTGGGACTCGAACCCACGACCTTGCGGCTGCTTTATCCGCATTACTGCCGTCTGTAAGGGTAAAATTTTAATTTGCATTTATGCTTATTAATTCAAATTAATTTTCTCCGTATGTCTACCATATAACTCACTGTTTATTCGATGGTGAGAAATTCTTTTACGGAATCCGAATCTGAATCCGTCCGTGTCGGCGTAGAGAAGTTGCGATTATTGTTTAAAAGTTCCTGAGTTAATCGGGTAATGGATTGCCCAGTATCGCTGAGTTTGATATAAATTCGACTGGTTTAGTGGTGCTTGAAGTTGTTGATTCTTGATTAATGTGTTTTTTATATACAGTAGTGGGCGAAGACGTTATGGAGTTCGAAGTAGGCTGAATTGGTCTGGTGTTGCTTGAAATTGTTACTTTTTGTCTTTATAGATTGGAATTCTTTGGATGAAGTTGAGGTTTGAGGGCAAACGGGTGGGTAGTTGAAAGATTTCTCGTTTAAATGGGAGGAAGACGGTGAATTATTAGTTGTAGTATTATGATCTTGTTGGTGAGTTATCGAGTTGTTGGTAGTATTTGAATTTGTAGATGAATAGTTTTTAGTAGTATTACTGGACGTGATGCCAGCGAAGGAAAATGGATGCGAGGGTGTAGGAAATTGGGCAGAGTAAAACTCTTTTGCTTGATTCAACGTACACTTACGTTGCGTTTTTATTTTTAAGATCTCTTTCTGCTGCAGAAATTTGGGACATTTGTTGAAATTAGATGGGTGCTCTTCACTACAATTGGCGCAGCTAATGCGAGTGCATTCTATGTTTGAATGAGGGGGTAAGCTACAGATTTGGCATAATGGAGCGTTCCTGCAATGTTTGGTTGTGTGGCCTAAAAGCTGGCACGATTTGCATCGCATGGTATTTGGGAAGTACTCCCTTATCTTAACCTTATACCGTGAGATGTTAATAGTTGCTGGCAATTTGAACACATCAAAAGTAAGTAGGATTACACCGCTTGGCGTTATTTTGTTGTCTATCATTCTAGTGAACTTGAAAACGTTCACAACACCTCCTACAGCTAGTTCTTTGACGATTTCTTTATCAGGGAGCGACTTTAAGAAGGGAGCGAATATGGTCCCTTTAACAAAATTGAGGTTTTCATGATATTTACAGTTTATTTCACATATTCCGGGAAATTGTTTGGAGGAGATGAACTTTTCTGCGGCACGCTTGTCTTTGACAAGGAGAAGTAGGTTACCATCTCTAAGCTCAGATATTTTGTCTATATCCTTGCTTATAACATTTAAGGATTTTTGAACTGCAAAACAGGAATAGTGTGATGGGGGTTTTTGGTCGTTAGCGGCAGCTACGACAACATATTTAGGGTTAGAAGTTGATTTGCTTAAATCGGGAAGCTCTGGAAAATCATCCGCGAGATTTGCTGGAGGTCTTTTCTTTCGTTTAGGGCTGGATGATAAGGCAGCGAACCTGTTGTTCCCTGCATTGTAGCCCCTGATGGGCATGGTAAGGTAAGGTTACTTTGTACTTTCGATTAGACACGTGGTTCACTTGCAAAAGCAAATATGAAAACAAGTCGATTGGAATAATGATAAACCCAACATAATTTGTAGGAGGGGCGTAATGCAGGAATAACGTATAGTAAAAATTTAAAAATTAATAATTTGTGGCGAACGGACAAACGTAAAAAATTTACGAACCGTAAAGAACAATCGACGAGCTATCGGTTGCAATAGCTCTGATCCAGTACTCCATGAACTTACAGGATTTTACACGAACTTGCAGGAAGTTGCAGGAAAAATGTTCCCGTACTCCAAAATTATCGAAAATCCTGTAAAAGAGAGCGACTTTTGGAGAGTTGTGTAGAGAATGAAGTTGCAAGATTTTACCCGAACTTTTTCTTCTGGTAAAATCATGAAAAGTGTCAAGCAATCACTGGTTGACGTTTTTACAGGAAAAATGAGTTTTTTGTTCCTGTACTTTTTGTTGTTACTCACTTTTTACTCTCACTTCAGAGAGTAATTTTGCTGTTTGACAGTTTTACAGGATTTTTCACGAAAAGTTTTGGATCAGAACTAATATAAAAATTTTAATATTTATACTAATCAGTGCTAACGTTGGTTGGGTACATTGTGTACCCAAAAACCAAGAAGCATTTTTTTGCCGCTAGACGTCGCGCTCACGACGCACGTCAGATGTCACTATTTCATTAGTAGGGCTGAGACAGGGATAAAAGTGAAATTTTAGTGCGGAAAATTGTTTTGATGTACGAAAAAACAGTCGTCAAATTCTTTTCATCCATTGTATATTATTTTCAAATAATTGCATTTTTCACCTAATCTATTATAGAAGAGTGAACATTTTTGTGCACTCCATTGCATTGCAATTGAGGCTGCTGCAGCAAACTGCGGCAGCATCTCAGCGGGATTGATTAGTTAACTTGCTAAAGGAGGCTGTTTGGAGCAGAAGCGATATCATTGTGATGAAATGGTGTCAATATAATAAAAAAGAAACATTAGGTTCCAGACATAAAGCCTATTACTAATTGGTATATATACAAGACAGCTTTAATAAATTGAAGCGATTTCGGGAACGGCCTTGCCCCGCCCTATATACACAAGATGGGTGGTGACGCAGCGATTCGTCGCAGCGCTACACTTGCATCTACGCATAATGAGATGGGCACCATGGCACACTTGATGGAAGGACAACAGCGCGAATCTGAGCCATATCGCACAAATAGACAGGGTAGTGGACTGATGGCATCAAGATTTGCTTGCCTACGTTGTTGCGGAAATATACTTTCGTACCTTGTTCGTTTACGCAACACACCTGAAGAGCTGGAACAAAGATATAAATCACGGGAGATCGATAAATTTTTAGAAAAAGAAAAGCACACATTTCGCCGACAGGTAAATATCTTGATTAAATAAATTACATATGTAAATACATATGCACACCAATACGTATGCAGGTTAATTGGCGATAATTGAAAACGCAAATAGAAATTATGTATTTATGTTAAACACTTTTGGAAATATAGGTAAAACTTTTGCTTTTGGGCGCTGGCGAATCGGGAAAATCTACTTTCCTCAAACAGATGCGTATAATACACGGAATTAACTTTGAACCCGAACTTATTCGAGAATACCAATATGTGATATATCAAAATGTACTACGAGGTAAGCTTTAAAGCATTTTTTTCCAATAATGTGTGTAGAATAACTAAACGGGAATCTATGTTTGAAGGAATGCAAGTCATGATTGATGCTCGTCAAAAACTGGAAATCCCGTGGGAAAACAACGAACGAGAAAACGATGCGAATTACGCCAAATTAATAGAATGTAGTAAAGTAGAAATCGACAATTTCATACAGTGGGCTCCATATATTCGTAGACTATGGCAAGATCGTGGCATAAGGCGAGCCTATGAAAGGCGAAGAGAATTTCAAATTGTAAGATAGTGAGTGCCTTAAAACAGTCAGTTTACATTAATAAGTTTATTTCAGAGTGATTCTGTCAGTTACTTTCTAAATGATATTGACCGCCTTGCTACATATGATTATGTGCCGACACATAAGGATATTTTGCACTGTCGGAAAGCAACCAAAGGAGTTTATGAATTTTGCGTTAAAATACAGGTAAGTGAAATTTTCAGCATAATGCTCTTTGGCGCCGTAACCGCCCAAACGATATTTATATTATGAACTATTTAAAGATGTTCACAAAAAATGACCGCAACGACTCAAGTTGTCCTTTCAACTCATATTTCTGTTTTTCCAAAAGAACCCCTTAAATATTTTTTTTTTACATGTGCACATCGTCGATGTTTTTGCAAAACCGCCCATCGCCCAATTGCAAAACCGCCTATCTTACGGCACTAAAATTTTACAGGAGAGCGAAAAACCGGTTTATTCTTTGAAGGCATTGCTCTGATAGGAGGTATTTTCCCTAGCTATTACTTTACAAATCTGTAGTTTTAATAACGATTTAACGATTTTTATGCATAAATCTCGATGCCTTGTGTTCAGGGTTACCAAATCTCATGTTTGCCACAACGGCGATTTAGGCGGTTTTGCAACTGGTCGATAGCCGGTTTTGCAAAAACATCGACGGTATGTATATTGAGTGAGATCGCTTTTAGATACAACAAAGGTCAAATCGTCATAATACAAATACATATGGACTAAAGAGAACTGTACTAGTATTCCACAAGCTGTTTTGGGGCTTAGAGTTATTAAGACTTTTCTCTAGCATATCAGACTTGCGTGATCTTTTAAGAAATCAACTGGAACTTATCAGAAATTAAATTACTTTACCTTTTTCTAAAAAAAAAAGAAAACATTTGTTTTTACATACATACAGTGCAAATATTTTTATTCTGATTTCTTATCGCTATTCTTTTTAAAAAATAAAGTTCTTACTACAACAAAAAACGTACAAATGAAATGTGCAAAACTCAGGAGAATACAGTAAATTAGCGTACCAACTTGCAACCTTCTAATCAGATTTTTTAAAAAATTCTAAGTACGCAGTTTTATTGCTCATTAAATTTTAGTGTTACAAAGTGCAAGTTTAAGGGCCGGTTGTTCAATGTCTGATTAACACTAATCGGAGGTAGAAGCTCTGGTTAAGTACAACGACTGCTTTATCGATCACATGTTATATGCATGATGTCGAAAACGTCGATAATGATGTTTAACCGGCAAGTAGTGATAACCTGCTAATGTTTTTGCCGCATAGTTAACTACTGTATATTAGTACAGTAATTTATTGAATTTTACTCAGTTTTGCACAAGTTTAAGAGATTTCATTTCTATGCTTTTGTTGTCGTATGAACTATATTTTTATAAAAAATTTGCGAAAAGGAATTAGAATAAAAAACTTTGAGTACATTGCGAAAAATTCTCTGTGCCAATACTTTTGTCCGGCACTGTAAGTATATCGTTACCTTAATTGATGGTACAATAATTACAGGTATTGTCTTCCCAGAGTGCGCACATTCCGATCTGCCCTATTTAAAAAATATCATTGTTGCCCACACAAAAACTTTTACTGGTAGCGAGAAGGGATATTTCCATATCACATACCATATATGTACACGTATTTTTTCAAACAAACCATCTTGCAGAGAACTTATTTAATTTGCAAAAGCCGGAAAAAAACATTTGCTTGTAAATAAATTCAAAATTTGTATGGCTCACTTCATTGATTAATTTTGACAAATTATAAAAATTAAATTTAGTGAAAACAAAAAGCAAAGCCATATAAAAGTAAAAGAATCAACATTGAACTGCGTCAAAATGAAACTAAGGGAGCACGAATTTCGATGTGAAGCAAACCTCTCTGTGAAGACAATACTTGTAATTAGGCCCCAACAAAAAAAAAAAATAATAATAAAAAAAGTATCAAATACAGGTAGGGCTTTTTTAAAAAGTGGCATGTAACTCTATTGTTTCTGGTACTAAATGCAGTATCACACGACTGATACATTTGTACAGATTTGTACATTTCTTTTATTGGGTTTTTGGTGCAAAATAAACAAATTGGGACGATTTTTTTTTTTGTGCATAGTCACACGATTAGTACAGTACAGCGAACTCCTATTGAAAAATTTGAACAAATTCTTTTTCGTGATTGAGATAAAGAAAAATATTTGTGCTATCACACGATTGGGATACGATTTGCACGGAATTTCGGGCAAATACCCAACCGTGTGACACTCGTCTTAACAAAAAAAAACACAGTTTCGAAATGTGTTGGCTATTGCTGTGAATCAAGGTAATAATATGTATTAGTTTCTGATTGGATGGGGTACGATTTGCACCGAATTTTGGGCAAATACTCTATCGTGTGTGTGACACTGTCTTAACAAAAAAACGCAATTTCGAAAAAAGTTTTGGTTAGGGCTGTGAATTAAGGTAACAATATGTATTAGTTTCTGGATTGAATTGTAAGCTTTTGTATTTCAGTCATAATTTTAAAAGTATTTGACGGGCTATGTATAATTTTATGTTTAAGTATGCTTCTGAAGTGACAATCCTTTGACTTTCTTCCATGCAAATTCTTTTATGCATATAAATACACAAATATACATAAATAACCACAAATAATTTTAATTTTAGAACATTCCATTTGTGTTTGTTGATGTTGGCGGCCAGCGTACTCAACGACAAAAGTGGACGAAATGTTTTGACTCATCTGTAACATCGATCATATTCTTGGTATCCAGTTCAGAGTTTGATCAAGTTCTTGCTGAAGATAGGTAAAATCAAATACAATTAAAAATAAGAATATTTGCTTAAAATGTCTCCATATATATATTTACAGAAAAACCAACCGTTTGGAAGAATCGAAAAACATATTCGACACGATCGTTAATAATAATACGTTTAAGGGAATATCTATAATATTATTTCTAAACAAAACTGATTTGCTTGAGCAAAAAGTACGCAATCCAGAGACTGATATCCGCTGGTTTTATCCCCAATTCAGCGGGAACCCACATTCGCTGCTTGATGTGCAGAATTTCACTTTGCAAATGTTTATGAGTGTGCACAAAAGTCCTCAAAGCCGGATCTATCACCACTTCACCACTGCCATAGACACCCGAAATATAAAAGTTGTATTCAATTCAGTCAAAGATACAATACTACAGAGGAATTTAAATGCCTTGATGTTACAATGAAAATGGGCAGCTAGCTATAGTATTTCTATCACATTATCTGTGAAATTATACAAAATATTAGTAATACGGGAATTTACATAAATAAAAATTAATACGCCAACAACATATGAAAACCAATATCCAGATACAAAACAGTTATACATAAACATACATGTATGCATGAATATAGTCTATATATACAAGTATATGTAATTGTTACTTTGGTTGATAACATACAAATGTATAAATCCCCACTAAATGCATTATAGGTACATTTTCCATCCAAAATGTGCTGCTTGCAAGGCCTAATACGAATATATCAGTGTAAAGTTTTTAATGTATATAATTTGTTTTGAATAAATATATTAATACGTTTATACTTACCGTATATACATACTTAAGTATCGAATATATTCATACACATAAATATAATGTATTTATATTTTAATTATATTTTTGCATAATGTATAAAGTATAAACATTCTTACAAATTTTTAAAATTAAAGTGGACGATATTAAAAAAATATCAGAATATCAGTATAAAAAATCAGCAATAACTGCGTATTATATCGCATTTTATACAAGCATACATATACAAACAAAAGAATGTTCTATAAAAGGTTGACGTAACAGAATTTACAAGTTTCTACTAACATTTACAAATCAAAAAAATATATACATATATATATATATTTTTATATACATACATACATATATTCTTACACAACAGAAAGATATTATCCACTCCTCTTTAACAAATTACCTATTCAACTAAGGTTTATTGTGATCCATGTATTTTATCGCTTTATGAATCGATCAAATAAATTGTCCCTTTGATATTTAAAACAAAAAATAAAATAAAAAATAAGGTATTGAAATATATATCTTGTTACTATGCGTTTTTATCGACGCTGTATAATTCTATTTCCAGAGCGTTTCACTCGGTTTTTGTTTCATCTACTAGTTTTTCTTGGGGGCTATCAAAGAATTCGCTGGGGAGACAAAGTAGCCCCAGAAGAACGACTGGTAAATGTCTACCCAATTCACGTTTGCTGTGTGACACCTTAACGCAGCCTTCTACGCCCGATGCCACCTCTCTATTCTGCCGTTCGGAAGCGGGTGATAGCTGGTGGTGTCAGCTCGCTGAAAACACTGCTTTCAAATTGTTTGCTCTGATCTGTAGTGATGAGCTTAAGTACTACGAATCTACTTCGATCCACATCTAGAACCTATCAACACACGTTAAACAGTACGTATAACCTCGTAATCAGGAAACGGCCCAAAAATGTCAACTGCGGACCCGTGCTCGTATGTCTGAACTCACCGCCTCTCATACGAAATTATTCTTTACCAGCTTGGCCTCGAATCGTAACATCCGTTCACGGATCGAAAACCATACGAAAGAAAATTACCTGATACGTCAGTCGTGTAAGCTGAATGGGATAAAGAGTACGTTCACGTTTGTCATAATCCGAAAAATGTGTTTTTACGTGACGAGTAATACGATATCGTATGTGACGATTTGGCCCTTGGTCGTGGCTCCTGTTATACGATGCGCGAGGCCATAGATAGATAGATAGATAGATCATAAAATGAGGTTTGCACCGCGACCTAGTGGTCTATTGTGTCCTCCATTCTTCACAATACCTCCTCTAAACCTAAATCCCTGAGAAAATTCACCAGTACCTTAGGGGATAGGGAGTGAATGCGCCTAACCTGGGGTCACATTAAGCCTAAACTTCTCTCACGTCTTCTGCAGACTGCATCCCATTCGGTGAGGATGTGTAGAGGTGTCTCCCTGGTAGAGTAGCAAAACTGACAAAGGTCACTCGACCATATCCCCAGCTTGTATAGATGCTTTTTGGGAGGTCAATTAAACTTTGGAATCTCCTTCAGTTGTAACCTTCCAATAAACTCTTTGCCTGACGCATTCCTGACGAACTTTGCCACTTTAGATCCCTCATAGTGATCCTCTCTATCCTAAGCTCCTCTTTTAGAGTGTTGGGACCCACTCTTAGGAAGGGCTCAGGGCCAACTGGAGTAATGGCTGCCGCCTCGTTACCCTCTACTCCCGTGTGACCAGGCACCCACGCTAATTTGATGTTATTGTGTCTACCCAGGGAGTTAAGCAGCTCAATACACTCTGGGACCAGCGACGATTTGACCTCATAGGATATGAGAGGCCTGAGTGCTGCCTAGCTATCATTTAGGATTATGATTCCCTCGTTTCTATACCCTCTATACCTTCTGGGTAGATGGCGTAAACTTCTGCTTGAAAGATGCTCGGATATTTCCTCATAGGAACAGAAATCCTGGCCCTGGGTCCGACAATTCCAGCATCTATTCCTTCTGGGGTCTTCGAGCAATTCGTGTACCAGTGCAGAGTGCAACCCTAGTGCTTCGAAAGCGGAGACACTCCTAGAGGAAATGACTTTACCTTTTCCAAATCCCTCGCTCGGAATGTTAAGCAGAGTTTTTTAGCTGCCTGCTCTATGGTCTACTGTCGTCGGATATGTGCGAATCGCTCCTGTTATGCATACACATGCCAGTCGTTGTAGCTTGATGAGCGATTGTCTCACCGTGGCTAGAGTAGTTCTTGAAACCAAAGCTACCGCCCCATAGGTAATCATTGGCTGTACTATCATGATGAAATGCCATCCCGCCAGACACTTCCACGTCATTAAAGCTTTCATGGCCATGGATGTAATCGCGGGCACATGTTTCTTCCATAGAAGTTTGGTGTCTAGGATTAGTCTCAGATACTTCACTTCGCTGGCGACGGTGATCACGACCCCTCCAAGGTTATGTCCCTCATGCTCGGAAGGGCTCTTTTCCTAGTAAAAGGAATGATGGCGGTTTTGGCAGGATTCATGATAAGCCCTAACTTTTTGCACTATCCCTTCGTAAATCTTAAGCCTCTTTGAATGATGTAACAGAGGGTGCTCTCAAACTTCCCCCTGGCAATAATCACTATATCTTCCGCATAGCCTTGGCAGCGGATACCATTGTCGGAGAGAAGTTGAAGGAGTTCATCCACCGCTAAGCTGCACAGAAGGGGTGATAAGAGCCCTCCATGCGAGCAGCCCTTTGTTGTCTGAAGTGGTACCATGCTGTCCCCTACCTCGGTTTCAGCAATCCTTGTACGCAGGAGTGCATCCACCTGATTGCAGATCGCTGGCTGCACGTTTCTCCTCTCTAGTGCTCTGCGCACTCCAGAGTGTGACGTGTTGTCAAACGCTCCCTCTACATCAAGAAAGGCGCAGAGCACAGATTCACCGCATTCAAGGGCACCCCGAATCTAGGTTGTCAGTTGATACTGGACTGTGTCCGTCTTCTCAATTGCTTTTAACGCAAAGGAGGTTAGGCTTATTGGTCTAAAGAACTTCGCTAGCAAGTAGTCCCTTTAACCCACTTTCGGCATAAAGATTACTCGCGTCCTCCGCACAACTGTGGGGCATACGCTTCCGCAAGACTGCTTCTCATTATGTCCACAAGATGCGGTATTACACTCTCACTGCCCTGCTGCAGCATCACCGACCGGATGCCATCTACCCCTGGAGCGTTGTAGCGCTCAAACGCGCCCAGAGCCCATCAGAGCAAGCTGACTGAATATTAGGATGGTCCAAAAATGCATGTGAAAATGTAAAGTCGGAATTTTAATGCTCTCACCCTCTAGGATCGTTCTATACCGAAAAAATATACCCATATTTTTTATTTTGAAATCAAAAACTATTTAGAGGTCGCCCAGAGCGCCCAAAGTTTTAAACGTATTTTATATGGGGGAAAAAAATTATTAAGAATCAATATTTTTGTATAGGAAAACTCTGTTTATCTGCAGGAGATTCCCAACAATAATACTCAGTTGTGTATTTAACAGGGACGGTAATCATTATGAGTAAAATAATTTAAATCAGCATTTGATCATTATTTTATGATTTTAATTTTTTTCGCTTAGAAATAATAATTATTATTGAGTTTTATTTATTTTAATGCGCACGGTGTCGCGTTATACCCTTGATTAGGAGGCGTGAGACCATGCGTGGCGTGGAAAACCTCTTGGCGAAGAGTCTTGTGTACGTATGATCTTATCTTCCTTTAATCATCGCAGAAGATCTCGATTCCTGTGCCCATGATAAAAACATTACAAGGTAAATTCATTCTCTCAATTCGTCGGCCATGATTTTTTTTCTGCCAACATTTTAAAATCATATAAAATTGAAAATAAAAAAATTAAACTGTTCACAATTGTTGTTGTTTGAGATTGAAAATGAGAATGTGTGTGTGAGTTTGAGTTTTGATTTTAAAATTATATTGTTGGCAAACGTCAGCCTGCCTCTCAATGGTTTTACCTTGTTATGTTTTTATCATGCCTGTGCCTATCTGTTCTTACTTGACCAAATGTAAGGAAGTTTCATTATTATTGAGTAATTTTCTCAATACCATGCTCGCTTCTTACTCGTCGTATAGTAAACGGCCTCAAATCTAATGGTGAGGGAGCTGTTAATGTTTCGATCCTCGATAGCACGACCGCTATGAGGAAGTCAGCTCCGCTGATGTGTCTGATGTCAGTAGATGACTGACTGATGAGATTCCAGTGTGTCATGGGGATAGTTTTTTCAAGTCGGCTCAACAGTTTGAATCAACGGCTTGTGATCCATGATGATAAATTGAGTCCCATTTTTAGAGATAGGGGTTACCGACGTTTGTTTCCAGTCGTCCACAAATATGCCTGAGGCCAGAGAGTGATTGATGATAGAAGTAAGAGGCTCAGCTAAACATAGACAGTTTTTCAACAGAAAGGCCGAGACACCATATACATCGCTTTGTGAAGATGGCTCAAGATCACCAATTCCTTTGAAAACGTCCTCAGTGTATATGGTTAACGAACCAAAATTCAGCGAAGAGTTACTAGGGGAGCTAGAGCCCGTTATATTCGAGTCCAGGTCATTGACTAAGTTGGCGCAAAACACTCAGCGAAAAAGGTTTGCCTAGTCGGAGGCTGAATTTGCGGAACGACCATTGTAGAAAACATTTGTTGGAATTGATGAGCAAGATTTTCGAGCATCAATGAAACGCCAGAAAGATTTAAGATTCGAGATAATATTAGCTTCAAAGTTTAAAATA